ACGCTAGGCACAGTGGAACAAGCTTTCCATCCCAGCGTTCAGGAGGCAGAAGCAGGTGGATCTCTGTGAGTTCGAGACCACCCTGATAATATGTAGTGAATTCCAGGATGGCCGGAGCGACATAGTGAGACCCTATCTCAAGCAAGCAAGCAAGCAAACAAATAAACAGATAAATAACACTGCAATAAGAAGTCCCACAGAGGGAAACTCCAAACATCCTTACAGGCATGCTAGTGCAGGAGAGTTCTCCTGCTGCAGCGCTTCCTCTCTAACAGAATCTGAGAAGTTAATGATCAAAGGTGAGCATCTCCAAGGAGCATGGACTGCGAGCAGGTCATTCAACAGGCAGAACTCAGATGCTGAGGGGCATGGGATACCCATCCAAAGATAGGCATTTCTGGAGTAGCTTTCCAACAGAAGATGGTTTTACCATTTTAACACTCACGACTCCCGCCCTGTGGAATCTGATGCAGTAGCATCATGGTGCGGACAGCTGCCAGGGCAATTCATTCTCATAGTGAAAGTGAACGATCAGGAAAAGGTCCTGTGGGTACTATCACACCAGTGACTTCAGGTTCCTTCATATTCTGTCTATATGTTCCAGTTTATGTAGTAAATGTGCATGGTGACATCACATAGAGATGCACCATGTGAGATTGCTATTAGTGTTTCTGTCTCTGCTGCCATCGTCCCCAAGGAGAGTTCTTCCATGACAGTGGGAAGAATGGAAGCGGTGACCTCACACTGCTATGGGAGCCTGCTCATCAATCCTTCATCACTTCATTCATTAACTCAGTCATTCGTCCAGCAAATGCTCGCTGGTCTTTTCTGGGACAGGGACTGGGGCATTCAGGCTGTTCTGAGACATTCTTGGACTTGGTCGTTCCTCACCTTGCAGTACCTGCCCTGCCCCACAACTTCCAGCTAGTTTCTGGATTTCCAGAGCACCTACTGCTCTATAAAGCACCACGGAGCACAGTTGACGGCTCCCTGGTGCTCAGCCTGAGCATCCTTAGACCCTGGACCTCGGGGAGATCCCTGACCACTGCTCAGACGAGAGGTCTCTGTCCCCAGAAGCTTTCAAAGCAGCAGCACTGGGGGACTCAAAGCCCCTGCATTTCTCACTGTCCAGATTTGAGCAACACAGAGACCTTCATGCCCATGTCCACATCTCGTGCCCACAGGCTGTGACCTGTTGCAATAAATCGTTGGTAGGGATAGGGCTGTGGAGGGCCCACTGGGGTCAGGGCCAGTTCCTGGAAGTGGACAGTTGTCCTCTAGAAACAGCAATGGACATTCTGGTGTGGGACAGTTCTATATTTGTCAACGATGTTTTAAATAAACACTGATTGGCCAGTAGCCAGGCAGGAAGTATAGGTGGGACAACCAGACAGGAAGTAGAGGCGGGTCAAACAGGAGAATTCTGGGAAGAAGGAAGTTTCTTTGGGAGTCCTGCCCAGACAGTGAAGAAGGAAGATGTGACCTGCCCCAATGAAAAAGGTACCAAGCCATGTGGCTAACATAGATAAGAATAATGCGTTAATATAAGTTATAAGAGTTAATAAGAAGCCTGAGCTAATGGGCCAATCAGTTTATCATTAATATACACCTCTGTGTAATTTCTTAGGGCTTACCAGCTGTGGGAACTGGGCAGGACAGAAACCCCAACAAGCAGGCCCTCATGTTACAGACATTCCATTGCTCACAGTACCCCTGTGAGATGAAGGGTTAGCCTTTGTCTCTGTCAGCCTATGTCTGGCCTCAGTCTGTGGGTTTGCTCTGACAGGCTCACACACCTAGGCCACACAGCCAGGCACAGCTGCAGAAGGAAAACACATCAGCCCCACCCCCAGAACATCCTAGACATAGGCCCAGCTGCATAAGGCCACACACAGGCCACTCCATTTCCTCCCTTCCTGGAAGCAAAGGACCCTGCAAGGTGACTCTCATGTGTCTATATGGCTGAGCTACAGGCCCCCAACACTGGTTCCCACATGAGGCTGGGTGTTACTGGGCAGGCCTTTTCAGGGTGAACCTCTATGTCCATAGACTAAAAGTAGATTTTCCTGCATAGTGCAGTGAGCCTCATCTTACCAGCTGAAGGGCCTGCCTCATGTTGGTTCATTTCTGTGAAGAACTCTGAATCCTCTAGTCCCTAAATTAAAGCCCAGCTTTCAGGGCGCTTCTGGGGTGATGTTGTAAAACAGCATTGTGCCAGGCAGTAGTGGCGCATGCTACCAGTCCTTGGGAAGCAGAGGAAGGCAGATCTCTGTGAGTTCAAGGTCAACCTGGTCTACAGAATGAGTTCTGAAACAGCCAGGCTAGTTACACAGAGAAACCCTGTCTCAGGAAATAAAACAAACAAACAAACAAACAAACAAACAAACAAACAGCATTGTGAGGCTGAGCTTCCTGCTTGGCCTGATCCTGAGGCAGCCAAAAGGCTTCCGTGCCTTTCTCTTCCCCCATCAGCAGCAAGCAGTGGTGGGTCCCAACCTTCTCGGATCTACACAGACCATCTGAGTACTGGCTGCTCGTGGATGATGGTGTTCACAGGGACCCAGGGGAGACCAAGCAGACGGTCTCATTGATGCCAGGACTGTGAGTAGCTCAGATGCTATGTCTTCTAGGGAGGGAGGAGGCCGTCAGGGTACACACCCAGCAGGACCCAGGACCTGATCTGATCTCGGCACATCACTTTTTTTTTTTAAAGAAGATTTATTTATTTATTCATTTATTTTATGTATATGAGTGCTCTATCTGCACATATGCCTTTGTGCCAGGAGAGGGCATTAGATCCCACTAGAGATGGTTGTGAGCCACTGTGTGGTTGCTGGGAATTGAACTCAAGACCTCTGGAAGGGCAGCCTGTGCCCTTAACCACTGAACCATCTCTCCAGCCCTGGACATCACCTCTTAGGGGCCAACTCTTTACCGAGGAACCGCTTTCTGGATGATGATGAGGGACCTGACCCTGGCTTTATGTTAGAACTCTGGCTGTGCACTCTGCTCTAGGAGAGGGTCCTGAAGACTTCACCTGCACTCAGAGTGACCTTACCTTCATCTGTTGCTCACCTCAGACTCCAAGCAAATCCTGTCAGACCTACTATGTGTGAGATCCACATACAGAGGCAAGGCCTGAACTCCAGCCAGCAGAGACACCTACTTCATAGAGCCAGCAGGGCTCAGCAGCCATCCAGCCACCCAGCACACCTGGACACACCTGCTGCCTCCCACTGTCAAAGTGTCACAGAGACCCCTCCACAGGGCCTGGGGATCGCTCAGACTCATGGGATCTGGGAGGGAACTAGTGTTCCTATTAGAGGTCCCATTCATGCAAAAGAGAACGGAGGCTGGACACAGCTAACCCTGGGCTGGCTGCCTGCGGGCATCTCCTGAGCATCACTCAAGGGTGCCCAGCATCCAGGCAGGGGGCATCCTGAGCTGGGTTTTCTCAGAGGCTAGAATTGTAACCTTGGGTGACAGAGTACACTTGAGAGTATTTGGGAGCCTTGATTGACACAAATTCAGGCAGGACTGAAGGCCAAAAGGGGAGGGATTTAAAGACAGAGGCTGCTCCAGGAACCGCTCCTCCCCACAGAGTTACCCCACTGGGGCTCCGTGCAGCCCCACCCACACAATTAGCCCCTCCCACAGCCCTGCCACCTGCAGTGAGCCACCTGTGCCTGAGTGACAACGCTGGAGCTCGTGGGAGCCCCGGTTACCTCCTTCACTCCATCCTCTGGGGAGTGAATTTGCGTCACTGTTCACTGCAGATGGCTGGAGTTTGCAAAGCCTGGCAGCCAACCCTATGAGAGTCCTCCCAAGCCCTATATCGAAGTCAGCTCCTGTGCATCCTGTAAAGGGCAATTGTATGACTCTTCCGCCCCCACAATCCCAGAGTGACTGCAGTTCACCCCGGCAGCGTCATGCATGCCATTGACAAGACGGTTCCACATACTTCAACAGAGAAAACCAGAGTTGTTGGAGAAGGGTGGAGGTAGGAAGTTTGGACCTCTGCAGCCTCATCTAACCTTCAGGGCCTGCTCACTTGACTCCTGCTTTGGCAGAGGCCCCTGGGCCTGACTCCTGCTCAGGGCAGATATCAACGATCACTTATCAACTCATCCACTGCTGGATACAGAAAGCGTGCCTGCCACCTGAGACCCAAGCTCATGGAATCCACTTCACAGAGCCAGCCAGCCCCTCAGCAGCTATAGCCCACCCCGCCCTCTGTGCCCACCCTCTCCTTTCCCCCACCCCTCCACCCTCAGCCCCAAGCCAATCTCATAGGGCTGGGCCCCACAGGCATCCATTACTGCCTCTGTCTGGGATGTGGCCCTGTGGTTCCTAGCCCCAGGCCTGGTCACTACCGTGTGTGGGATTGTTGGGCAGAGGACTTCCTCATTGGTTGGTATGCTGTGGGCTAGGCTGGGCGTTGGTAGCCCAGGTCCCAGAGACTTGCGGGGCAGTCTGAGAAGTTCTTTCCTAAGACACAAAGATCTCAAGGCCCTCACTGTAAGGCAGACGGGAGCCAACGGTGTCTCCCCAGCTCTTTCTCCCATTTGTTGCCTTCGATCTGGCAAGTTACCTCCACGACCACAGGCATCTACTTCCATCCATAATGGGTAGGTGACGGCCCATATCCCCTAACTCCACAGCTTGCTTCATCCTTTCTCCCGTCATAGCTGCCTTCCTCAGCCCCAGGCACCATGGCAGAGAGGGAATCAATTCAGTCCTCTGCCCGCTGACCCACACCCAGTTAAAGGAGTTCCTGGGGCTTCTGTGACTCTGCCCCAGGGTGGCACCACACCTCCCTCCAGTGGACATCAGTCAAGAGGGTCTGGATACCCAGAAGTCATAAAGAAAAGGTCTCAAGACCTTTCCCTGCGAGATACCCCCAGCAAGGGACCCAGATGGGCCGCCAGCACCTGTTCTGGGGCTGGAGAAATGAAGAGGAATTCTGAGGGAAAAGCCCAGCCCAGGAGCCCCGCACTCACCGCTCTGGGTTCCTGGAGTCCTCCACTCAGTGGGTCTGGCTGACTGACAATGTCTGCTCGCTCCCTGCCAGCTGGCTCTGCGGCCCTGTCTAAAGAACACAGCCACTGAGGCCCCAGCCTGATGCTTCCTGTTGTAAGTAAGCACCCAAGAGGAAGTAGGGTGACAGTGCTGCTCCTTGGCCCACATGTGGGTTTCACCCCAGCCCCCTGACAAGCGGGGAGTCAGGGAAGAGATACCGAGAGAGGGAGGAACCTGTAGGTGATGGCAAGCTTTGCAGCGAGAGAGGAGGGGCTCCTGCGGGAGGCAACGGTCATTGAGACGAGGTAGGAACTCAGGGACCAGTGAGCAGAGGCTGACTGAGTGAGAGGCCCAGCTACAAATGCACAGGCTGAGGCGGTAGCCTCCTGAAGGAAGCAGGTGAGTGAGAGGAAGGAGGCTGGGGGAGGTTTCTGGGAGGGGGGGATGGGTACAGAGGGATGCATAGGGACTCAAATCACAAAGTCCAAGGTGGACAAAACCCCACATGACAACTATGACAACTTGCAAGAGTAGAGGGGGCAGAAAGAGAGACCCGGAGTGGGAACCTTAACCTAAGATTTGAGATGTCGGCCATGTTGAGAAGCCATTAGTCTTTTTCAGCGATGATGTTTTGTGGTTACTTCTCAGTGTCTCCCTCTTAAGAGTTTGAAATGTTTGAGATGATATGATAACATCAGATTTTCTTCCTTGTGATGGGGGTAGACGTTGGAGATGGGTGTGAATACAGGACCGACTGTCCGTAAGCTGCCCCCAGTTCCGGGGTGGGGGCCAAAGACCGCGGTGTTCACGTTCTACCCTTTCTGCCTGTGATATAGTCGGTAGAATTTTCAAAGTTTTAGCTGCATGAGGATAAAGCTGTTGAATGGGACAGTTTCAGGGTTGCTGGATGTCCTGGGGATGATGGTTGCTAGGGTTACAAGAAGACCAAGCTAACAACCCTGAACTTTCATGTGTATTTTCTCACAGTTGAAAAAATGTGTGAAAGATGATATCAGACTAACTTAAAAAACAGCGCTGGAAAGTAGGTGTAAGGGTTCACACTTAAGACCAGCATTTAGGAGGCTGAGGTGGAAGGACTGCTGTGGATTCAAGACCAGTCGGGCAATATATAGCCTACCTCAAAGAGGATTGAAGAATAAAGCAAGGAGTGGGAGATCTACGTATCCTTGTAGAAGATACTAATACTACCCAGAAAGATCAGGAAGGCCTAATCCAGAGGCCAGAGAGACAGCTCAGAGGGGAAAGGGCTGGCTGCACAGGATCAGGACCTGAGTTCGGCTCCCCAGAAGCCACATGCAAAGCTGGGTGTGACTGTGCGCATCTCTGACTCCAGAGCTGCGCGTGTACACAGTAGGATCTTTGAGGCTCACTGGTCAGCCTGTCTAGCTCATGGGTGAGCTCCAGGTTCAGTAAAGAGACCTTGTCTCAAAAAATAAGATGGAGGCCCATTGTGGAAGACATCAGATACCGACCTCTGGCTTCCACTGCATGCATGCATGAGCAGGCTCTCTCACAGATGCACAAACATGGACACACTTCACATCACGCACACAGACCCCACAATCTTAGAGCTTACAAAATATACAGTGAAAACTGACACATGAGCTAACTGATGGAGCCGCAGACCAGCAGGCCTCTTTAGCGAGGGGTCAGTGGCTGTTCTTGTCCCCGAAATCAATACCTGACAAGGAGAAATGAAAGGGAGCGAGGATCATTCTGGCTCATGGGATGTGGCCACCTTGGTAGGGAAGGCTTGGGGGCAGGACAGACTCCTGCCAGTGGTGTATGTAGGGGATGAGAGCAGAGCCATTGTGGCAGATCGAAAACTGAAGGGGAACATAGCTTCAGTAGTTTGACTTTCCCTTTCTTTAAAAGAGGGCTTATGTTTTATTTTAAAATCAAATTTTATTTTATTTTAAATTGTATTTATTTGGGGGCTGGAGAGATGGCTCAGCGGTTAAGAGCACTGACTGCTCTTCCAGAGGACCTGAGTTCAATTCTCAGCAGCCATATGGGGACTCACAACCATTTATAATGAGATCTGGTGCTCTCTTCTGGCCTGCAGATGTACAGAACACTGTATACACAAGAAATACACAAATCTTTAAAAAATAATAAATTATGTTTATTTATCTATCTATTAATTTTGTTGTTGTTTTGAGACAGGATCTCTCTATTTAGCCCTGGCTGTCCTGGAACTCTAAGTAGACCAGTCTGGTCTCAAACTCAAAGAGATCCGTCTGCCTCTACCTCCGGAGTGCTGGGATTAAAGGTGTGTATCACTATGCTCAGCTTTTTTCTTTTTATTGTGTTGGTCTGGATGTTTGTGTGTGGGTGCAGCTGGAGGTCAGAAGAAGGCGTTGGGTCCTACCTCAGCCCATGGGATGGTACTGTCCACTTTCATCTGGAAACTCCTTTACAGAAATACCCAAAGGAAGCCGGGCTGATCTCTGGGAGTTCGAGGCCAGCCTGGTCTACAGAGCTAGTTCTGGGACAGGCACCAAAGCTACAGAGAAACCTTGTCTCGAAAAACCAAAAAAAAAAAAAAAAAAAAAAAAAAAAAAAAGAAAGAAATACCCAAAGGACTATTTCACTAATTCTTCCAGTATTTCCTAATCCTTAATTTAGATGATATCAAAATTAACCATCATAAGTGTGACTTAGGAAGACAAGTTAAATAGAACGGAAATTGTGCTGTGAAATGTTTGAAGGAATATTCTCTCTAACTTGGACACAAATGTTGGGGAAATATTATTTTCAGGTGTGTGACTTTTGTTTACGCTGCATTTGTTAACTCTGTGAAGCTGTGTCACGGTGCCTGTCTGAAACACCTGATGGTCTGATAAGGAGATGAACGGGTAATAGCGAGGCGGGAGCAAGGATAGGCGGGGCTGGCAGGCAGAGAGGATAAACAGAAGGCGAAAGCTGGGTGGAGAAGAAGGAGCAAGAGAACAAAGGGAAGAGGACATCAGGGGCCAGCCACCTAGCCACACAGCAAGTCATGGAGAAAGAAGCAAATAAAGGTATACAGAAATAGAGAAATATAAAGGCCCAGAGTCCAAAGGTTGTCGGGATAATATAAGTTAAGAAAAGCTGGCAAGAAACAAGCCAAGCTAAGGTTGGGCATTCATAAGCAATAATAAGCCTCTGTGTGTGTGATTTATTTAGGAGCTGGGTGGCAGGCCCCCCTCAAAAAGCCAAAAGAGTAAAACTAACACATACACAATAATGTTAAAATATTGGGGATCACTTGCTGAGGCACAAAGCAAGCCTCGGTGTAGTCCAAAACGCAGAAATGACAAGGAAGTCAAAATTAACTATGAAGGGAGACCATGAAAGGAGAAGGCCGGAACCCTGCCAAGCAGGAGAGAAACCCCCCAGTGAGAAACCTAGCACACCTCCACGATGGGCTAATAATGGGGTCACAATGCTGGTCGCATGGTGCAGCTCAAAACTGAGGTTAAGTTTGGTGAGGTGAGGGCTCAGTAGTTAAGAGCTTTGTCTGTTCTCACAGAGGACTGGAGTTCTAGACACCCACACCAGGCAACTCACAACCAGCTGTAATTCCAGCTCTAGGGGATTGAAGGCCCTTTTTTGACTTCCTCAAGCATATGCATACTTAAGACTCAAATCTTTTATAAACCTTTTATAAAAAAACACAATGGTGAGAGTCTTCTCAAAGGCAAGTTTCACAGCAAACAGGAGAAATAAGCTCACTTTATGCAAATGATCTGCTCATCTGCTTTTTGGAAAGAAGAGTACAAGTAGCTGACCATTATGGAAAAATATTAAACATCCCTAGACGATGGGGGAAATGCAAATCAAAGCTGCAGGAGAGGGCGGTCCTCTCGCCCCAGTGGAATGGCAGATGCCGTGAGGGTTTGGGGAAGGGGGGCTCCTATGAACTTCTGGTAGGGATGCTGATTACCATGTCCAGTATGGAGAACCAGATTGAACTTCCTCAAAAAGCCACAAATAGAACTACCATCTGAACTGACATTCCCTGGGTAGATGGCTTAATGATAGGAAATTAGTGTGCTGAGGGACCTCTGCACTATCCGCTAGAGCCATAAAGCAGAATCAAACTGGGAATCCATTGGTGGATGAAAAGGGAAAAAAAATATATGGTATATAGAAGAGGATCTTACCATTTATAGGAACATTGATGAGGATAGAGGTCATTATGTTAAGTGAAATAAATCAGACAACACACACACACACACACACAGAGCACCTCTTGTTTCTCAATTATACAATGAAGCTTAAAAGTTGTTCTCGAAGTAGAGAGCAAATCTGGGCATGGGGACTTAAGCCTATAGTCCTATTAGTTGAGAGGCTAAGGCAGGAGAGTGCCAGCCTCGGCTATGTATTGAGCTCCAGGCTAGCATGGGCTACAGCATGAGACAGTCTCAAACAAGCAAAACAAAAAAGGAAGTAAAGGGTAGAAGAGCCATCAGCACAGGCCGGGGTGGGTGTGCGTGGGTGGGAGACCTTGACTATTACAGAGCTGGGCTGGTTCTCAGCACCCTGGGGGTGAAGGGTGTCACCGTATCTCATTCAAAGTGGAAAAATATCCCTGCTGAGTAGACAACAAATGCTCAGTGTGTGGACTGCCACCCCCTATAGCAGCCATGACTCTTACCATGTTCTGATAAAATGTCTGACAGAAAGCTACCTAAGGAGGAAGGGTTTGTTTCGGTTCACAGTTTAAGAAGGGACACGATCCGATCCGTCACGGCAAGGAAGGCACGGCGGCGGCGGCAGGAGTGTGAGCGACTAGTCGCGTGGCACCCATAGTCAGGAGGCAGAGATGAACGCTGGCACTCAGCTCGCTTTAACCTTTCCATTGGGTCCAGGGCTCCAGCTCATGGGCCGGTGCCTCTTATGTCCAGCCTGGGTCTTCCTTCCTCAGCTAGGTCTGAAAAGCCACTCACAGACACGCTGCCGCCATTCGAGTGCAATTGTCCCCCCTGCCACCCACAGACCCACTTATGCGAACAGTAGGTCCCTGGCTGGTGGCACTGTTTTGGGAG